AAAGTAGTCGCCTCAACAGTGTAAAATTATCTACTTACAAAGTAACTGCTAATTAATAAAATATTACGACGAAAACATTCATTAATCTATTTGCGCATACATAACAACAATAATTCAAAAAAATATTTTAGAAATAATTAAGTGTGTAAATATAATAAAAAGTATTGAAGGCCTCTACAAGCTTTGATGTCGAGCGGTGCTTTAACAATACTGTCGAATAATTTCAGACAGGCACAGCATCCCTTTTTTTCTTAATAAATTTATCGGAAATTCCTTATAGTTTCGCTAATATGGCGGATATGAAAATCATACCCTGGCAAAACCGTACTCAGTCTCCTTCCTATCAAAATTATACATATAAATAATGTGGTCTTCATCACACTCAAACCATCAGGTATTTTTCCTTCTTGTATTGGTACTCGCTTTTTAAAAGCTTTGTCTAAGTCTACTCTGAGCCCGTGGGTTAAGATTGTTGTGTCTCAACCAATCCTCCCTATTTCTGGCTGTCGTGTAAATAGCTATATTTTGACAATGATATTGTGCATAATTCCATACCTGCGCTTATTACGTTTCCTAATTACCTTTCAGCTCTTACAAACAAACCAATAAGCAGAGAGTTTAGCGCTCAATTACAAAGGTAATTTGTCCCGCAACCAATCAGGTTCCAGTCACCGTAATTTGGACTAATCTAATTCGACCGTTAGTCGGACCTGTGATAAATTCAATTTCCATTTGTTACACTGATTAGAATCGGAAACGATGCCGCAAAGCTCTGATTGGCCAATTAACTCGCGGAATGCCATGGTCTTTAGGATATACCCGGAATCATGCCCCGAAGAGAGTAAAGGTTGCAATTGCAAATATTATTTCTTCAGTAGTAGCAACTCATTAACTTTTTAGAAGATTTAAAGAATGTATATTGTGTGTATACAGGGTGTCCCGCAAGTAGAGGGAAATATTTAAAAGGGTAGTACTAGATATCAAGATCTACAAAAAATTACAAATAAATAATTACCCAATTTCCATCAGAAAAGTAGGAAATTTATGATTTGTGTTTTTTTTTTAAGCGGGTCAAGTTTGTTTGTTTCAATGTCTAAAAAATCCAGGTCATAAGCGCCCGATCAACTAAATAACACCACTTAATACTGTTTGGATGGTTGGTACAAAAAATAAAAATAAAAAAAGTAAAGAAATGGATTGATAGAATAAAATAAATAAATAAGGATAATAATAGACATTTATAGATAATAAGATAGAATAGATAAATAAATAAACTTAAAAAAAATCGTTATAAAATCAATAAATAAATTGAAATTAACAAACAAATGAACTTGAAATGAAATAAAATGAACAAATGAAAAAATAAAATAAAATAAAAATAATAAATATGCAAATGATCATTAATTATAAGGTTGTCATATATGATTTTTAAGTCTTTCACTATCCAGGAGCTTGATAACTTTAGAACAAACTTTAGAAAAAACATTTTGGAAAAAAGTTGTTATTCATCGTTTATTTGCAAAGCAGGTAACTGTTATTGAAAGAAAAAGAAGATCAAAGAACGGCGATTTATTTATTGAAAATTAATGAAACAATATTGTATATGTTGTTCATTTTTTATGTTTAATTATAATGTATGGGAATTACATTAATGGGCATAATTTATTATAACATAATGTAATTCATAATTTATCAATGAAGGCCTTGAAAATGATGATGATGCCATTATTTCATTTTGAAACCTTTGTTTTAAAGTAATATTTTAATTTTGCATTCAATCGTTACACTTAAGAAGGTCTTGAGGATGTATTTGTGATGATAACGAATTATTAAATATGGGCATCATAATCATTTAACAATGTTTGATTGAAAGCGGCATACATGTCGATAGTGCTAGTAGTAAAATTACTTAATAATATAAATATATATTTTTTTTTATTTCTTAATGACATTTACAACTGTATTACATAAATACATCAAGTAAATTTGGACATAATAGATATAATGACATGAATACACTTACTGAGTAACTACCCAATGGTAGCACTCTAATGATATTACTACATTAGGAGATCACGGGGCCATCTTCTTCTCAGACGCCTCGGAGGGTTATCAGGAATTGAAGAGGAAGCAAGGTTAGAAACGAGAGAGTTGGGATGATTCTGAAGTTTATTATGGAAGGATAGGTATCTGGATTAGGCCAGATCTGAAACATAAGGAACATTAAGATCTTTATGAATAATTTTATTAGTGACTAAGTAAGGAGCATTGAGGATTTTACGAAGGATTTTGGATTGTAAGGATTGGATGCGAGAGGAATTCGATGGTTTAGTGGAGCCCCATAGCTCAACTCCGTAAGTCCAAATAGGTCTTTCTGTAGTCATGTATATGAGTCTTTTGTAATTTATGAGAAGTTTAGAGCGTTTGTCTAGTAAGTGCTGAAGTAATCGGATACGTCGAGCGGTTTCTTGTCGTTTCAGTCTAGTATAAGGATTCCAAGTTAGTCGTTTGTCCAGGTGGAGTCCTAGGTATCGAGTTTGCTCAACAGGGATAAGTGGAGTATTGTTAAAGGAAACTGTAGGACAGGAAGTCGTTGGTTTATGACATGTATAATATTAATTTGCTTATTTATCAGAGCTCGTATAATATTTCTTGTTTAAGGACATATTAAATGATGGTGAAGATAGCACTATATTATAGTTAAGCACTTTTTTTTTTACATACTTATAAATTAACAATTTGTGCTCTGTCAAAAAAACAAGGAAAACTATTAGTCTAAATGATTTTTTTCAAAAGTTACTCCATTGATGTTAACTCAATATTTAATAGTGTTAACTCAATCTCAATGTTAACTAGATTTTTAATAAGTTAACTTATTGCACACAGCGTTCTGAATTATTATAATAAAGCTGATAGTATTCCTAAGTGTCGAGCAGAGATTATTGTGGACTTCTCGTGTATTCCATAATAAAGTAAGATACAGAGAGTTTTGATGAGGAATAAAGACGATATTCTTTATCAAGCCATTTCTATTAAGTTTCTGAAAGCAATTACTAAAGTGAAGTTAGAAATGTAAGTTGTTAGTTTCTGAAAGCAATTACTAAAGTGAAGTTAAAAATGTAAGTAATGAAATTATAAGAAAGGGCTGATGATTAAAGTTAACAAGATGTAGGTCATAATTCTCTTAACGACTTATAAAACCACTACCACAATTCAGAAATAGTTTTCTAAATGATAAAATGTCATAAAAACTAATTTCCCCCAACTTTGATTATATTTCACTATCTCTAATTGATTAATTAAATAAAAGACCAATAAAAATCTCTGGGACTATAAACTAGAGATTACTACATTATATTTTATGTAGCAAATTTTAGTTGGATGATTTTACTTATTTTATTTCATCATATATTTATTTGTTTTTGTTCTAGACTTTCAGTCCCATAGTAGATTTAATATTCACGATGTTATAAAATATTATGAAGGCAATATAAAAAAAAAATATATATATGAAAAATTTATGTAAAAAATCTATGAATTCTGTCATTAATTATAATGAGTAGTGAATTTTTATCTTTTAATGCTGCTTTATAATTTAAAATTAACAAATATTTATGTAGTGAATTATCTGATATTTTTATGAAAGTACTTATATTATTTGTTTAATTTGTTTTCTTACACTGGATTCCTGTTCTTTATTCATAAAGAAGTACAAAAGACGACCATGAGTTGCTGTGATACTCAAACCTGGAATGATAGTTTGTGCATGTTTGTCGCAGATGCTATCAATAAAATTAAACTGTGTCCACTTCTGGTTAGTTAGAATTATTATTATTCGATATACTTTAAAAGCGGTATAGTAAAAAAAAAAGTTAAGGGATATCAGTAGGCTAATTTAATTAAACCATGATTGCTTTGATGCAACCGTTTTCCAATATGACGCTGGCTTAGATAGTAAAAATCTCTACTTGTAAATATTTTTCATTCGAAAAAAATTCTTGGTGTTATTTTATACGTCCTTTGATTCTAATGATAATCTTATGACTTCCAAGAGACATAATATTTAGTATTGGTTTTAGTATTTAGTATTTAATTATATTTACAGTTATGACTGCAACATTAGGTTTTAGGGATTATATTGTGGCTACAGGAAGAAACTAGTGACTAATAGTTCCTTCTTATAGTTATCAAATTGTGTTCAGTTAAATTTCGAATATCACACCAAGAATATTTAATTATGTAAAGTGGAATTACTCTTGTGATCATTATAATGGTTTGGTTATATAAACTAATCGATGCTCCTTTCTATGTAACCAACAAAATCCTACATCATGACCTCAACATCCCATTTGTCCTAGACCTTATCCCAGAAAAATTCTCCAAATTTCACCAGAACCTTACGTACCACCCAAATCCTCTTGCACAATCCCTATCAAGCACCTTCCATCCGTATAATCCTCCGAGAAGGTTGAAGTGGCCTCGCGACCTTTTGTAGATTGTATAATTGGAGTTCTGGCAATGGCCAGATTCTTCACTCAAGACATGAGTGTATGTGGCTTAAGTGCTCTCGACCGATCTCTGCTGGCTTTAGTACCAGTGACGCGGTTGGGAGAGTAGCGCAGGGTTCTCCTGGAGTTCCCTCGCCTGATTGTATATAGGTATGCATGTTTTTTTTTTTCTTAGTTTTAATTTTCTTATTTTTTAGGTTATTTTATTTTATTACCTATTGTATATACTTTTGATCATTATTTTGTTCTATTTATTTTATTTGTTTGTACATATTGTGTGATTGTCATTTTACCTCACTATAACCAATGTCTAAGAGACAGATTGTTATAATACTAAGAAAAAAAAAAGTTTCCATGAATTTATAAATTGTTTTTGATAGAATCATCGGTCTTACTTATACTACTATGCGGCTTAGCGATCCACTTCTTTTGTCATAGCCTACTCTATCTTAGATCGCCAGTAGTCTTTATCATAAACTCCAGTAGTCTCTATTATGATGTTGCCTTCAATCTTCTTACCCCAAGCAGAGATCTCGCATCAGCAGCCATGCGATGCAGTCTTTCCTCCGGAGCCTCGCGCTTCCAACCCGCCTGGTGCCATAAAGTTGTTGCCATTGTTCCAATAGCATTTTGTAAGGTATTTATTTCGGATCTATTCTTGTAACGCGACCAGTCCTGCAAAGTCATGCTGCTTTTATAAAATTGGATTCATCCACTTCTTTAAATTGTTTATTTAATTCGGCGATCCTCCTTATCCAGGTGACTTGCACGCATTTTTGACCCGCATATTGGTCTTATCCATCCATATTCTTTGATTTATAAATATGTCACGCTCGTTCTTAGATGTGTGGTTGCCCAGCGTAATGAGGCGTCGCCATACCAAGCGCGATTCTAGACCCATAGGTTCGAATACAAAATGTTTTTCATACTTTTGTTCCAGTCTTGTTGCGTCTTCGGCCAACCTGCAACTGATAGTTTAGATTTTACGTAGTCATCATATTCTGTCATTTATAGTAAGCGCTAGAGGTTTTTCTATTTTATCAATGTCTTCCCTTTCGTTTTCTCTAAGTTTTGAGCTTCTAAATACTTATTGTTGAAATGATTTTTTTTTTTTTGGATAGAAACCGCGTCAATCTTTTGAGATTATTTCCTTGCTTGGATTTTATTACCATACTTTGTTTAGGAGTTGAAAATAATAAAAACACGGTGCATTTAGTCCATTTATATCAAGTTTAAGCATTAAAAACATCATTCTGTTTGAAGTCATCATAAATCTAATAAATGATGAATACCTCGGGCATTTTTTTTTCGCAATGATATGCAGATGTAACTGTATAAGAGAGCCGTTGGTCAAATTTTTATCAGTCCTTAAAACGATTTAAATAAATGCCGCTCATTACGACGCCAAGCTTACAAATGAACCATAAGATATATTACTGAAGGGACATGGCCGGAGTTATATAAGCCTCAATAAAACTTGCGATAACTGAGCGGGCCATGAATAAAACAAAAGCGGGTGGCAAACAGAACCGTGCTCTTATTTTTACAACGTTGAGCAAACATTGCGAATACTAACTGCCCAGAACTAATTTGCCGGAGAGTAATGTATACCTCCATTTCCATTCCCTTTTATCCGTCTACAATCTATAATGTGTTTCTAAACCAGCATCTAAGCCTATAGGGTAAGGTTCATTGTTTCTTATTTAAAAACCATTAAGGCTTATTTTGGTTGTAATTATTAACGTAAATATTGTTGTTACATTATCAAATTATTTACCAATTGGCTAATCCAACGGAAAGAATATTTTATATTTGTATGAATATATCGTTTGGATGTCGTCTTTCCTTACTGTTACAGTAACTTCAATTGTTCAATTGACAGAATGTTATATCGCTCAATTATATAAACAGTTTTCAGTGAGTTTCAAATTGAATGTTATTTATAGTATTAGGAGAGTAGGAGATGACAGGATACGAGTCCTCTAGATTCGACAGTGCTCTCCTGTGTTGATTATTTTACAAATTACACAGCATTTCATTTCATTCCCATGATGTAAAGGTAGCCTACTAATCACACTGAAAACTGATACTTTTGCATGACCCCTCCTCTTCATCATGGAATGTCTCGAAAAAGTAAATCTGAAGTGAAGTACCTTGACATTTCTTCTATATGCTATACGGCCAATCCATCACGTGGACGAATTGCCTGTTCCATGGTCCCCTGAACACTATGGCTTAAATGAGAACGAGGATAACGAAGAGGAAACTACCCTAGGAGGAACTCCATCAGATGTTTCTTTACAACAAGAAGAAAGAAACCCCCACTTGCTTACTCAAACTGAACTCATTGATTTATTTTCTGACCTGGATCTGTGCAGAGAGAACGCAGAATTTTTGGGATCAAGATTGAAGCAATGGAACTTCTTACCAGCTCGTGTAAAGATTACAATATACAGAAATTTCCAGAAAGACTTGATCAACTTTTTTAAAAAGTGTGAGAACCTTGTGATGTCCCAGGTCTGATTACAGCATTAAATCTCAATCACAACCATTCTGAATGAAGGAAACTTACCAAAACTTGGAAACCCTTCTAAAATTCATTAAATAACATGACTACCAGTGGCAAATCTGTGGGATGGAAATTCTTCTAGGCATACAACAAGGATATATTAAGTACTGTTGTTTTTTATTTGGAACAGTCGGGACAGAGAATCTCATTACGTCAGGAAAGAATGGTCTCAAAGAGAAGTCCTGAACCCTGGACAGAAAAATGTTCTCTACAACCCTCTTTTGGACCATGAAAAAATAATTTGGCTCCCCTACATATAAAGTTAGGACTCATGAAAAATGTTGTCAAAGGAATGGACCAATCAGAAGAGTTATTCGATTACTTAAAAGGAAAATTTATTTCCTTAAGTGAAGCTAAGATTAAAGAGGCTGTATTTTTTGGTATACAAATCAAGAGGAATTTTTGAATATTTTTCACCGTAAAAAAAGAGAAGCGCGGGAAACATTTACAGCTTTAGATAATGGTTTCTTTGGTAACAAAAGAGAGGACAGTTATGCTGTCTTAGTGTCCAAAACCTCCTTGAAAAGTACAGAAATCTCGGTTGTAACATGTCTCTCAAGATTCTCTTTCTTCACTCTCATTTATACTTCTTTCCCGAAAATTGCTAATCTATAAGTGACGAACATGGTGAGCAATTTCTCTAAGATATGTCTTCGAGGAAACGAAGATATCAAGGTTGGTGAGATACTTCAATGCCCTCAGAGTACTGTTTGAACGTTATGAGGGATTTGCCATAACATCGGTACAATCGTCTAGCAAAGAAGAATCGTTCTAAATAAACTGTACAACAGCGCTGTTCTTACCGAGTGAAGTTATAATGTAATATTTTGTGGGTTGTAAAAGTATTTCCCAAATCATAAAGCACTTTTAAAGCCTACAAAATGATCGTGTAACTTCCAATAAATAACTTAATTTTTTGTATTCAATACTGGGTATACGTATCTGCAGAAAGCTACCTAATATAAGGAGTTTCTCACACCAAAATTAGTCGATAGAAACAATGTTCGTCAAAGATTCACGGAAAAAAATGTTTTGTAGGGCAGTGTTATTGGTTAGCTCGATAAACATGCTTTATTTCTTATCAAATCAATCAATAATAATAAAAAAGTTGATAGTTTTTACCTTACCTTATATTTGTATCAAACTACTAATGGCATAACGTCATGTACCTGAAAAAAAATTCAAATTTGAGAAAGGTGGAATTACAGCTTTGCGAAACAAAATAATTCGAATATAAATATAATATATTACCTTACTATAAATAAGGTTAATAAATTATAAATAAGTCTATAAATAAAATAATTGAGCTCCAGAAAGCAATGAGTAAGAATAAATATATATATATATTTTTTTTAATTCTCCTTTTGAAATATTGGTAAAAAAGAGTACAAAAATCACAAAATTATATCATTATAATTTACGTATTACTTTTAATAATGCGGATGTTAATAATAAAACACGAACTGTAAATGACTATGTAAAATTCTACTCCATCGTTTGCTCATTTTTTCTTTACACAACTTCAGAAAAATGATATAGGCTAAGAAGCTAAGCATGATAAGTATAATCAATAACAATGAACAAATTTCAAAATATCAGCTGCATAGGCGGCTCCCAAAAAATTCTGAAGTTCATATTCTGTATAAAAATTGTGAATTTTAAATAACATAATCAACATATTTGTTGTAAATGAATACTATATATATATATCTTTTTGCTTATGTGTATATTTAAAATATGTAAACAAAGCAATTGAATATATCACATATTTCAATTTTTATTTAACGGTTTTTATTTCCAGATTCACAAAAATCGGTAGTGGTGACCGGTTAATAGATCTCAGCACATTACAGCACCAAAGGATGACAGAAATATTGGTATTACTGCAAGAAGCATCCATTTCCGTAGTGCCCGACAGAGCCTAAATGAAGTATTTAAAGTTCAGTCAAAGCTCATATCAACTGAAACCATTCGTAATCGTGTGGGAAGTTCGTCTAACATCTTAATACGTCCTTAAGAAGAACTACAGCAACAGTGCCTCGCCATCAACTCTGTAGATGATGGTGCAGCGAGCGCTCAGATGAAGATACAAACTGGAATGTTTTTTTACAGACAAGTCGTCTCTATATTTCTAGCGAAAGTAGTTGCCGAAGAGTCCAAAGACCAAGAACACTCCAAGAATGACTCTACTCCATATTGTGAAAGGTTATCTCATTGTTGTTCACTATACCAGGAGAAATACATTCCTCAAACTAGGACTGTATTACCATGTTTATGGTATGAAATTACTTGTGAAATAAATGACAATATTGTAAACTGTATTCTAAATAGGTGCAGAGAGGTAATGCGTGAATCATCACATCTTACAAAATTTTAACGATTCGCAATCATAAAAGCAAGATCACATAAACCTTTAATTTCATTATCTTTTACAAATAAATTTTATAAAATTTTCTGAGCTCAAATACAATCATACAAATATTAATTTATTAGATATATTAGTTTTTAATGTATTTTATGACAAAAAATATAGAGAAAATAAATTATATATAACTAGGAACAATATACCTAATAATTTTTGAGCAGTATAGATAAATTGTTATTGATTTGATATTATTTTTGTTCTTGGAAATATTGGAGCTAAGAGGAACGATATTCTCGATCTTTTCTATTTTTATCGGAAGGAGGAGAGGGGATGATCGCCCTCTTACCTAAATTCTACACCTATGATCAGTTGTATCTACTTGTTTTTTATTTTGTTTGATCGCTTTTCACGGATGAGTTGTTATTAAGCTATTTTTTAACAATAACACGTTAAAAATCGGTAAATATATGTTAGGCAGAGTAAAAAAAAATTTTCAGAGTTGTTTTTTAAAGTTCCAAACACAATATTCATATTCAACAAAAAAATTGGACAAAAAAGTGTTGTATTCACTTAAACTTTATGAATTATATTGAGCGTAAAATAAATTAACAAACAATTTTAAGTATCGCGATATTCTATGAACCTGGCAAAAGGGGAAGCAACCATGTGTACAGCAGTTAAACACCATGAATTAATTATAAAGTCCTTCTCTCGTTAAGTTGCGCCTTAACTGTTGTTTATATTCGTTACTGATGTACTTAACAACTTCATGAAACATGAAATACTACGCCACTATTTGACTTTGTAATTCCAAATTAGTTCTCTGTTCCAAAGCTCTGCTAAGCACTGTTAGACTTGCTTCGTTGACTTAATTTTTAAGGGACCAAATGGTGAACAAAAGAAAACAAATCATATAGATTATTCTAATTTGATTCTAAACGTGGTTTAACCAGTACAAAAATAATCACTGATACATAAAATGTTTCTTAAATCTTGAAATGGATAAATCTAGGTTACTCAGCACAATTAATCAATCCTTCTTCCACTAATCATTAATGTTTCGAATCTTTTTGTTTTAAAAATTACAATTGTTTTACACACACACAAACACACACACACACACACACACATATATATATATATATATATATATATATATATATATATATATATATATATTATATATATATATATATATATATATATATATATATATATATGTGTGTGTGTGTGTGTTGTATATATGTACAATGAGTATATAATGAATAGAAAAATAATTTCTATTCAAAGTTGAGAGGTAATTGAAAGTTTAGTGTTGCGCGCACCATATTTTAACTATTCTCCTACAGATAGAAGTACTTTATTTTAAATTATCGCGGTATCTTTCTATCTATCTTAGTCACATTAATCTTCACAAACATCTTACAAAATGGTGATAAATTGACCTTATTTAAAAAATTATCTATCATGAAATTATTTAAAGACCCGTAACTCTCTTACTCCAAAACGGCCGGAATTTGAGATAAACTTCAGCTTAGTTCGCCTAACATATTTTCACTATCAGTGAAAGCAGTCACCCAGATTACATTAATTATTTTTTAGAATTATTATTTCCATGCCGTTTAATCTCCACCACTACCTTCCTTTCTCCATGATAAACCATGAATCGTGGTTACATGCTGATTTAATGAATTATATATTTTTAAAAAAGAGCTAGTAAAGCATTATCGGTTCCTAGGCTGTTTAACTAGGGTGTGCAAAAGGTTTTAATTTCAAATCTTTCTGTAAATAATGGATTAATTATCTAATTTACACGGTTATTTTACTTTCTTTGCGTTTCACTTAATAAGACATGAAATATATCCATTAATGTTCTCACTTATCAACCACTTTTAGCTAATGGAAATATCGTGATTGGGGAAAACATTCTACTTTTTTCTTTACCACGACCATTTTTATTTTTTACTTTCAATTACTTGTATATGTAATATATAGTAAGGGTAAGTATTGCGATCTGATTTTTAAGGGCAATACACGTTTTGAGATCGAAATTACCAAGTCTTACTGAATGGTCTGTGTGTGTGTGTGTGTGTGTGTGTGTGTGTGTGTGTGTGTGTGTATGTGTGTGTGTGTGTGTGTGTGCGCCTGTGCGTTTGTCTGTGTGTATATATGTGGTTAGCTAAGCTCAAAAAATAAAAGTCACACGAAACGTATATTGTTTATTTAGAGTTTTTATAAGCCTTGGATGTTACAGCAACATTTTCCTCAAAAACGGTAAAAGTGATACTTTAAATTATCGATTTAACACATTTTTACGATTTACTCAAAAATGGCTTTAACGGTTTTAATTAAACTCAGTGTATCAGAGTATTATTAAGCAGTTTTCAACATAGCGTAGGTTCTATTCTCATTTATGTTCTCTGCCAGGGCTTAAATGACTAATTTCCAATTCATTAGCTTCCTCTAAAGTAGCTTTACTTTTTTTATTTGAAATAATTTACCACTTCATATTAATCTTTGATAAAAAAAAAGAGTTAAATATAAAATATGAAAGCATTTGGTAATTAACTAAAGGAGAAAGAATACGAGCGCGACCGAGCTCGCCCGTATTACTATACTCGTTATTAGCTTAATATAATACAGACTTCAACAATATTATGTACATATACATATGCGGTTTTCATAAATGCTGTTAATTTTATTAATACAGTGGTATAAAAATTAAAATTTGCACATATAAGATTAAATAAATAAAAATACCCACAATGAAATCTAAATAAATATAGCGTCTATTATTTTTACTTTCACTTCCCCTTTGTCTGAAAATACTTATTTCTGATAAGAAGAGGGTGGTAAGGGTAAGTGAAAGTCCTGAGATGCGCAAACCAGATTTTGTTTGTTTTATAGAGCTTCGGCAGAGAGCTTAGAAAAATCCTGTGAAAACTAAATCGACCAACCTTCGCGCAACAGGCAGCACTTGATTTTCTATAAATGAAGCCTAAAACATCTTTAAAATTTTGATAAAAGGAATAAATTGTTCTTTAACCATTTAAATTTTCATATGTAAATCAATAAAACAAAAAACAGGGAAAAGTTATAAAATCAAATTGTGGGATAAAAAACATTTAATAAATTAATACATAATTTAATTCTCTCTCAAAAAATGAAAATTCCCTAATGTTAAATTATTTTAATAAGTAACTTTTAATTTTGTTATTCTCATGGTACTTCATCGCAGAATAAAATTATTTTCAAAAAAAAGAAATTGAATTTTATCCAGGTTTAGCAAAGATATATACGTGTTAAATTTGATTCATGTTTTATTACATTCTTACCGTTTCTAAAAAAGTCGTAGTAAAATATTGTAAACGGATTAAATTTTTGACCAATCATTATGCTTCAAGGACCGTTCTGTCCATAAACGCATTGGAAAGAATTGGATCTTTTTGCTCAGCAACCTACTGTCCATGGTACAAACGTCCATGTATCGAATTATCAACATCCACCAAAAACTTAGTGTATGGCTTTATCTTATCGTAACCCACAACTTTTTTATCAACTAATATTTCTCAAGATAGGGACATTTTCTCATTATATTGATTAATTTAATGATGTGTTTAAACTTTAGGAATAGCATCTGCTTCCTACTAGAATCATTAGATAATTTGTTCGAAAATTCGAGAAAAAGGGTGTTCTTCAAAATAGTGGGTCTTTTGGCCTAAATAACCTCGTTATTTTGACAATTTAGAGGTGGATGTTACCCCAAACAGCCCAATGTTTTGATAGGTCACCCTCGTTTTCTCGATTACGTAATGGTCTTAAGATTTCAATGAAAATCAAATGGTAATCATGAATTTTTACCATTTCATTAAAACGACAATGAGTTTACCAATCTTCAATTTGAAAACACCTAATTATCATAGATGAAAAAATTATAGGTTAGGATAAGATGAAGTCATCACGAAGTTATAGATGGGCGTTAATAATTCGATAAATAACGTTTTTTACGACGGAATATAGATTTCCAGTCATTTACCTATTTCAAAATGTGGGCACATTTTATAATTTAATGACTACTTTTCGCTTATTAATGACTGCTGTATCTGTAGCCAGTTCAGGGAAAAATGTATTGTCCAACTAACCAGTTGCCCTGAAGAAATATTTAGTTTACTTAAAACGAACTTGAAAGCCCTAAGTAATTATATAAAACAATCCACATTGCAAAGAGCTCAACTAATTAGTATATATGTAAACGATTATTGGAACACCTTGTTTATTTGTTATATATAATATTTATTTGTGGTTGTTATATTATTTATTATGACATCTTTGTTCAATGGTTAATTTTAATAGCTTTATTTAAAGAATTGAGACAGTGAACAAAAAAATAAAATTAGTGAAAATTGTATTCCTTAGTTAATATATTTATAATAATAACTTTTATTTGTACATACAATGCAAAAATCAATGGATAAAAAATAGATGTATACAAAATATTTACATTTTGAATTTATACTTGACATTCTTATATGTACAAAATCAACATTTTAGTTGAGGTTTTGAGTTCGATTTCTTTTTCTTTTTTTTCCCTAGCTTTCTTGCAGCCACACTAGGTAATGAACCTGTCCTATCCGTTTCCACTCTTTCCTTTCCAATGCTACTTTCTTCCAGGCTGCTTCCCCCAGGTCTTCTTCATCTCCTTGTCCCAGTCTGTCGGTGGGCGTCCTCTCTTCCTCGCGTGCTCTCTTGGATACCAATCCATAAACTGCCTGGTCCATGTTAATTTATTCCTCCTGATTACATGTCCGGTCCAGGTCCACTTCCTGATCTGCACTTTTTCCACAATATAATATATTTAGGACACAAAATTAAATATATTTTGTGGGAATAACAAACAGACCTCTATAGACGGAATTTTCCAGTGTCTATTTATTCTAATATCTATTATATAGTTTGTATCTTATTTATGAACACATTTCCATTCATGACTACTTTTGGCACTAGTTAAAATCACCCCTAAGCATAAGACTGAATGAGGATTATCTGTTAAGACTGACAGGGGTAATAAAAAGGGATGCGGACTCGGAGCTAATTGGAAGAGCCAGGAGGCGAACAGTCCCCACGGCCCTTGTCATCTCAATTAGTCCTCCCTGCCCTCCTGAATATAAAACCTCCACGGATTACTTGAGCTGCAGTAAAGTCTGTCGTCTAGTTCGCTGCCGGATCAGCATTCTCCCCTTACGAGGATAGAAATTAAAACATGTTTGATTGCCCGGATTAATATAGATTGGTTTTATCTAAAGGGGAGAGATTTCAACACCAGGCCAACCCTAATCTAAAGATTTAATATGCCGATAGCTACAGTGTCTGTAGTCGTATTAATCGACTATGGTGAAGCTTGACAAACGATTATGTGGAAACGCATGTGAAGATTATTTGAGCGATTGAAAAGTTTGTTGTTTGTTATTTTCTAAATGGAAAAGTCCAAACTACAAAGCCACGACTCTTCAAAATACTGGTGAATAGTTAAGTTGCTAACGTTCAGCTAATCCACGCATCATCAGGGCAAAAAAACCAAGATTATTTGCTTATCTGCAGAAAGAAAACCAATAAGAAAAAAATAATATTGTCTTAGACTTCTCACGAAACCATACAAATCCAAACTTTCAAAAGGTTAAAAGCTGTACATTCCACTAACAGTAATTTAAAAAAAAAGTAGAATAATTATTATAAATTAAATTTACATAATTATCTACATATGACACACAAATAACTATTCATCTTTTTGTCTCAACCCAACAGGGTCATTTGGTAACACCGTGAAATCAAATTCAGCAGGGTTTCACCGACATTAATAATACTAATTTTTTATTAGTGTTTTCAAATTTTCGCTGATAGTTTTCAATATAGAGCAGTCTTGTAAAATGTGTTTTACTGTTGGACATTGTAGCTATGGCAAGTTGCATATAGTAATGCTATATATAACACTTTTAGACCCTAGTGGATCTAGGATTTAATTTTTGGGGGGGGACTTCAGCCTGAAAGATTTTTTTTCAAATATATAACGATAATTAATTTGAAAATAAAGAAGGAATTAACTACCTATATGAAATGGTGGTTAAGTGATTCTTAAAGACCTATTAAATGTAATTACACGAACGATAATACTTTAAGAGACAGTTTTTAATCATTTTTCTATAAAACCTGGTTATATTTTACCGTTTTTGGGGGGAGGGGTTTCATCCCGAAAGCCCTCCCTCGCCCGCTGCCCGTAGATCCGCCTGTGCTTTTACATTTTTTTTGACACGGTTTTTTTTTTTTTTTTTTTTGTGGGCGGGGTGGCCAAATGGTCTAACGCGTGTGTGCACTGCACCGCCGTTGCCCGGCAACCTGATACATAACACTGATAAAAAAAATATTCACGAGTTCGCGTCCCGGTGCCCGGAGGAGTTTTTAAATTCCCGCCCACACTCCCTGGCCCAGGAAAACTCCCGTATAGCCTTAACGGCCAGGAAGAAGGACAAAAAAAAAAAAAAAGACAAGGTTTTTTAACATTTACCATCTCAAATACAAGATCTGTAATTTGATAATTCTACATATTTTGAATAGTTAAAAGTATTTACCTCAATCATTATCAGATACAAGTATGAACTTATGAAAAAACAATAGTTTTCATTTTTTTAGGGGGAGGAAGAAGAGGGGAGTAATCAATCCGAAGCCTCCTCCTCTATTTGTGGATCCACCAGTATTTTAAGGCAGATTTTCGTAGTATTTCAAATAAAGTAATTTAAAGTAAAAGATAAAATAATATTTTGTATTTTGTATTTCAGAAGTAAAATATAAAATACAACGTTTGTAACTGTATTGTCATTATTAATACAAAATACAAACAAAAAGTACTTTATTTTGTATATTAAATGCCAATTGAGTAGGTATTAAATTACCAAATTGAGTAGGTTCCCAGGATCATATGCTGATTGTCCACAAGAAGTATTTTTTCTTAAAACAATTTAAATACTTTGTAGGTAAAATACATTGTTTTTAAAATAATACTTAAAATACAGTTTGCCCAGGTCTGCTTTAAGGTAATACTTTCTTCAAATTATAGCATCAGTTAAATGTATTTATGCATTGTAGAAGATAACTTTAGCATCTACAGCCTAAGATTAATTTTATGCTAAAATTACCTACCTTTTGTAGAAAACAGCTGAATGTCGTACCGATCCAAAGGAAACTTCAATTACCAACTTTTTTTTTTTTTTTTCTAAAAAAAAGACTTTGTCAGTTGAAATAAGTTTTCATTTAATTTACGCTTAAATACAATAGTTGGCTTGTTTTTCTGGTCGAGTGTGCCGAAGTGGGTCTACGTCATAAGAGCTCCTTGAAAAGGGGGATTTTCCATTGAGGATACAGGAGATTATCCTTTGTGAAAAGCGACCAACTTGCTAAGAACCCCAGCTTTCAAAACATTTTCCTACCCCCTGTATCGTCGTGTGTATGAGCTATTGAGCCAGGATTTTGAAAGTGTTTAACATGATTCAGTGAAAAGGGGATTGGTGCTAAAACAAAAGCTATATTTAAATACGTTAGAATTGTTCAAACCTTCACAGAAAATCCTGAATCCTACCCGAATAGGATAACTTTTTATATAAAAAATATTATTTTATTTTTTAATTTTATTATAACTAAATACTTCTGTATGTTTTTTAGTTCTGAGTTGAATACAAAATATTCTACAATTTGTATTCTGGTGATACAGGAGATCTACAAAACTCCAGTGTTTAAACGTACTATAGAAAAACAGTGCAAATAAACTATATAAAATAATAACTCAGGAAATATTACTAAAAAAATAACAATTAAATGAATTAAAAAATATATATATTTTTTTTTTCATTAGAAATATAATCTGTCACGTGGACAATAATTATAGTAGTATGTGAACATATCCACACCATACATATACAGAAAATGGAAAAGTAAAATAATAATAAAAAACAATGTACGATACAAAATAAAATAACCTAAAGATAAGTAAATTAAAAACTTAAAAACACAGTCATACCTATATACAATTTATACAATCCGGCAGGGAATCCCAAGCCAGGCTTCTCTCTCCATCTATAGAAGGAAAAGCAGGACTCAAAGAGATCCCTGCGCTACTCTCTCAACCGCGTCACTATTGTTAAGGCTTTAGTCTTATACACTCATGTCTTGAATGGAGAATCTGGCCATTGCCAGAACTCAAAGATATATACTACTAAAGATCTCTGGGCCACTGCCGCTTCTATCTTCGAGGAGGATTGTAGGGATAAGTAGAACTAAATAGACATTGTGAATACCCAGTTTAAATTAACTTTTTTGACTACAGTTTAAAAATTTATAACCTCATAAACCATACCATTAACATAACCTCCCTTTCACATGATCAATGCAACCACATTATATTTTTAAAAATTATTTATATTAATTTTAGATGTTGAATAGAATTAAATAAAATTAATACTAGGGAATTTCTACAATATTCCTCGCATTTCCTTCAACATTCGGTCTAATCGATTATAGGTTTTCAACTAGACTTGAACTTTTGTTTTCGAAATATAGGCGTGTCAAAAACAATCCCTTTTCAGATTCGAAAGCGGAATTATTTTCTGACTGTAGGGGGTGGAATTTTCTGAAATGGATCACTTGATCATTTGTTTATCCATTTCTAACTTCCCTTCAGCTTTGAGCCAAAACGAACAGGTTTTAAAATATAAACATATCACGAAAAATACGTGTGGGCATATTTAAGAGAACGCAGCTGACGGAATGCAATCAAATTGCTACAGTTTATTTATTACAATTATTTTTTAACCTCCTATCTTTCTTCCAAGTTTGAGTCAATCGAACAAGTCCTTTCAGAAATATTCATAGCTAAGGAAATACATTTGCTCGTGCATAAGGAGAAGTGTTGGATGGAATTTTATGACATTGATATGAGATCATCTAGTCACCGCACATTTCCTGGAAAAATCATAAAAATCGGATAAACGGCAGTGGGTGATATGTCCGTCACATCGATTTGAATACAGACAGATAGACGCCGATCCTCATTTGATCCTTGACGCCTGAAACGTAAAATGCGAGTGTAATTTTTCGATTCTGAGCAAATAAGTTTTTTTAACCTCACGCACGAATACAAAGCTTCCCTACCTTCGGTAGTGAGGAGGTAAAATCTCACAATGTTCACGTCAGTTTGCAGAAATATTAAATTAAAAATTAAAAATATTAAGTTTATAGAATATTCGTAATACTTTGTTGTTCATTTAAATCAAGTAAATGTATTTATTTATTTTTGAGTTATGTAGTTTATTTCTACGGAGAAAAATACTAGTTTATTCCACGGAGAGCTTTATATTTTAAATTTTAAGAAATAATTCTCTCTAATTCTTGGCATAGTATCTTTTTTAAATTATTATATTCTTTGCTTTTTTGTTATTTTTTTTCTAGAAAATTACGGTATTATTTTCTATTCAACCTGGAAAGGTCAACAAACGCAGACGACAACATCGGACCAAATACTCTACCAGCGAAAGGTCAAGAGCTTTTCGACAAACATTGCTATTGATATAGCAGATGTTGACCTAGGGGTTGACAAGGCGAGGTTTGCCTTTTGGTAAAAGTTTTAATTGATTTTAAAATATTACTCAACTACAGACCCATTATTTAAACTAGATAGTGGATAATGTCTAATCCTTATGTCTTCTTTTTAACACTTAAAAACCTACATCAATAT